GACCGCCAACGCTAGGAAAAAAAAAAGTGCGGGCCCCCTGTAGCCTTTCCACAAAAAAACTTGGCTTTCGGCTGGGTGCCTTACTATATATACCTTAAACCCCAAACCCTAAACCCTAAACCCCAATGTGGGAGCCTGAATGGTGCTGTCTTAGAATCATGCTGTATAAGGCTAGGAGGGGGTATAAGTCGGCATAAGTATTGCATCGAAAATCAACTACAGGTTCATATCTCTATCTCATGTTCTTTATCGGTTCACCTGAAGATGCTTTCAGCCGGGCATGGCATGGCAATCTTCTAGTAGGGCGGACCTCGTCTCTGGCAAATCCAAGATCACCCCCGCCCCCTCCCCACAGCCGGTTAATGACAACCCACTACTACAAACCTAAGTCCCAAGACCCTAAACCCCTAAACCCTAGACCCTAACCTCTAAACCCTATAACCCTAAACCCTACATTGCCCTACATCTCAAGACCCTAACCCCCTAAACCAAGCAAGCAACCTCAACGTTACAGCCCCCGTGGCTCCGCACCCTAAATCCTAAAGCCCTAAACCCTAACCAAACCTTAAACCCTAAATAAACCCTGAACCCGAAACCCTAAACAAACCCTAAACCCTCAGCAAAAACCCTAAACCCACCCTAAACCCTCAGCAGCAAAAACCCTAAACCCACACGAAACCCTTGGCAAAAACCCTAAACCCACACTAACTAAACCCTTAGCAAAAGCCCTAAACCCCTAGAGCCCCCCCCCCTAAACCCTAAGCCCTAAGCCCTAAACCCTGAATAAACCCTAAATCCTTAGCAAAAACCCTAAACCCTAAATCCAACCCTAAATCCTAAACCCTAAACCCTAGATTCTAAACCCTAAAGCCTAGCCTCTAAGAGCCCCTACCTTAAACTGCACAACCCCCATTTTGGAATTCATAGGGACCCTACATAACAAGTAAGTTTAGGGTTTAGGGTTCAGGGGTTTAGGGTTTAAGTAGGCTAAGCTAGCCTGGGACCGCATGAGGCAGTCAATGGCTTGCAGCTTTGACAGTGTTAACGACGGCGCCGGGGAATCTGCCTCTTGGCTTGAAGGGTTCGGTTAAGGTTTAGGGTTTAGGGTAGGACTTTAAGTCTTAATGTTCACAGTTTAGATAAGACAATGGATAGTCCTACTAAGTGTCATGAAGTAAACATAGTAAAACGACGGGATGAACTATACATGTTTTGTGTTTGAATATCCCCCAAACCTTGTCGAACTTTCTTGAAATATCCCCCAAGCCTTGTTGAATTTCTTGAAAGCCCTACATTCTGTGGGCTTTACATAGGGTTTAGGGCTTGTAGGGGCAGTGTCATGGCATTTACAGATTTAGGGCATAGGTTTCAAGATTGACAGGTGTTTACTTCGGGCACAGGGCTAGGATTCACTGGTAGGTCTAGGAGTGTCCAGGGAGTTCGGCATCCGTGCTATTGAAGCCTACTTATGTAAACCGGTTTAGGATTTAGGGTTTTAGGGTTTAGGGTTTAGGATTTAGGGTTTAGGATTTAGGGTCCTGAATCCTAAATCCTATACCGTGCATTCACAGTTCCGCAAGGATCGCCGTCAGCTCGGCTATCAGCGCTTGCGGGAAAGGCAGCCACATAGTTGGCAAAGAAGTGGTACACGTTTTCTTCTGTTTTTGTTTACCCTTACCTTCGAAGGACTCATATTTTAAGGGTTTAGGGCCCAAACATCCTATTATATGAGGACTTCGGGCTATTTTGATGCTAAGGGTTAAGGTTCCGGTTATGAACATAGCTACTCAAGAAAGCACATTTTTTCTGCTATCATCTATTCTATAATCGTTTGTAAAAAAGGGGCCCTACGTAATTACCAATACGAGTTTGGAGATCCTTACTATAACTATAGTATAAACGGGCCCAGAACTCCCAGAACCCTATTATAACCATTAAGGCCGCTACAGTTTAGGGTTTAGGGTTTAGGGTTTAGGGTTTAGGGTTTAGGCCGCTACATTGTATGCCTTTTTCCCGGTAGCTTTGCCGAGCAGCCCAGGCCAGTGGCAGCACGCGTGCGCGCTCTTTGCCGGGTGTCTGGACCTTGGGGCCCCAATCCTCAGCGCTCTCCCAAGGGCTCCATGTAATGTCCTCATTATTATGGTCATAGTGTAATATAACCCTAAACCCTAAACCCTAAACCCTAAATCCTAAAACCCTAAACCCTAAACCCAAATCCTCAGCTCTCTCCCGCGGGCTCCACATAATGTCCGCATGATTATGGTCATAGTGTAATATAACCCTAAACCCTAAACCCTAAACCCTAAACCCTAAGCCCAAATCCTCAGCTCTCTCCCACGGGCGCCACGTAATGTAGGGGCCTTATATAATAATTACCTAGACTATTTGGGGGGTTCCTCATTATTATGGTCATAGTGTAGTATACCCCCAAAACCCTATTCTAATTATTAAGGCAAAGCATGATCAGGGTGTTGGGATTTCGAGCAGTTTGCGTGCTTCCGCTTGAGATTGCGATGTCGCTTGGAAGGTTTGGAGTAGCCTGGACAAACCGCAGCACCACTCCCTCTTTAGTCTAATACACTTGCTGGTGCTGGGTGTTGGAGTGTAGCTAGGAGAAGCGAAAACCGTTTCGGGCATGCTAGAATTTCAGGAGGGTTACATCCTTTGAGTATGGCTGTGCGACCCCCAAAATCCTGCACCCGAAACCCCAAAGCCCAAAACCCGAACCCCCGGCCCAACGGCATTCATGGAACGCACGGAAGCGCGCATGAAGCTGCTGTCAGTTTCAGCAAATACCACAACTCAACGGCACTGCAAATGATATGTCAGCATGGCATCACCAACAGGAGATGAGCTCCAGACCTAAACCCCCGAACTACCCTCTAATATACCCTAAATACCCACCATTAAGGGTCATAAGGGCTCTATTAAAGTGCCCTTCGGGGGTCCTGGGACCCCCTTTAAACCCGAGAAAACCTGCCTTTCTAGCCTTCGTGGTGATGATTTGCTGCTATAAGTGAGTCCTTGAAAGGCCTAGGTTTTCAGGCTCAGGTAAACCATAAATGGCCCAAAACCCAAGTCCCCACACGATTCTGCTCCTCCCAGGTGTCCAGACAACCCTTTGTCCGAATGAGATCACCTACACAGCCGTCATCAGCGCCTGCGAGCGGTCTGGCTGTCATACGGGTTTAGGGTTTAGCGTTTAGGGGGGGCAAACCCTAACAGGCCCTAACATTAAGAAGCTTTGTTTCAGAACAGCACATCGCTCAGACCTCTCGAAGCTTAAGCTCAACAAACCGACACTGCCTCAAGCCCATAAACCCGAGGCAATACATGCCCGGTAATAAAGTTT